TTAACATGAGATGAATCATGTGTTGTTTACGAAAGGCATTTAAAGCTGGGCATGGGTTACAATCATTATTTAATGTCTAGAGTAAAAAATAAAAGGTTTATTTCAATTTTTAACAACTTCAAGAAAAAAAAAGGAAATTGTTTTATAATAAGAACTAAAAAAATATATATTTCTATACAACTTATCTTCCATGCATTAAAGAACTCTAGGTCAAACGATGTAATGTAAAATACAGACATAGATGGCATCGAACGATAATTAAATTTTCCCAGGATTAATAAAGTTAAATTGACGTATAATTTAATTATTTTGCGTGATCAAATAATAAAACTAGTAAACGTAAAAGACTAAATATATATCCCCGAAGTTATAGCTTCTAAAACTACCAAAACGCAATTAATATCAGAACTAAAACTACAGATATTTAATTTCTGAAATATGCGTTTCCCTAATTAACTGTTTTTTCGAAGTTGTATTATTTGATGGCAGCCCATACTTAACCGGGAAAAATGTTGGTTAAATAAAAGAAAAAAAAATGAAAACATCAGAGGAAATTTACTATTAAAAAAAAAAACTGGACCTACTCTCTCTAGAGAATATGTGGTTATTGCCAATCATAATCAATATCAAATAAAGCATGAATTGTACGTGTTGACTGAGATATTATATTTATTATCAAAAATGTTATGTTTATCATATTTTAAATAAATTTGAAGATAAAGTATAATAATTAAATTCTATATAAGTTTCTTTAAAATTACTATCAAAACTACTTTTTTGTTTTTGGCTATTTGCCACTACCAGTAATGATATTTGAGGCTAATAAAAGTCAAGGGTTTTCTATGATATAACATATGACTTTGTTGAGGTGGCTTGCATATGGCCATCAGACAATTGACAATCAGAAGCAATGAAAGGGTAGGAGTAGTAGTAATAATAATAATAATAATAATAATTAAGAAACCCTCAATCTGCTATTGGCGAAACTGACTCTCGCTGACATGCCTATCATGTTTTTTATTTAAATCCAACCAACTGTTTTGTCCTTTGATTCACATATCTTGAAAATAACAAACAACCTTAAAATGATTGACATGTCTGTTTCATCAATCTCGCACCTTCTTCTTCTTCGTCTTCTTCTTTCTATCTGCGTCTTTCCAGTGATCTTCATTGTCTCATCAACACTTAACAGTGGCTTATCCCTCTCGGTGGGTAAACCAGAAGATATTCTTGTCTCACCAAATGGCCCTTCACTGCCGGCTTCTATGTTATTGGTGAAAACGCATATGGTCTTTGCTATCTGGTTCAGCCACCCCACCTCAATATTCGCCGATCTCGAATGTGCTTTGGACAGCCATCGTAAACCAACCTGTCAATGGAAAAAGGTCAACACTTTCCCTCCTCAGACAGGAAACCTTATTCTCTCCGATGCTGGGCTGAGGATATAGAAAAACAAAAATAAACTGGATAATACTTTATTGTGGCAAATAAGCCCAGGAGAAAAACTCTACAGTCTGAATACAAACAGCAAATATAACACTGGAGAATGCAACAATATAATCCAATTAGGAATTATTTTTTACACCCCCCTCAAGTTAGAACCGAATAAATTTAAGGTTCTTACTTATTTAGTAGTTTCTCATGGCTCCCTTTACCTAATGCTTTTGTGAGTATATCCACCTGTTGTTCAGCTGAAGATATATATTGAATTGTGATTAATCCTAACCGCAACTTCTCCCTCATGAAGTAGTAATCAATCTCAATGTGTTTTTGTTCATTCATGAAACATTGGATTCAAGGCAATCTATATTGCCACCTTTCTGTCACAATATATAACAATAGGCACATAACTTATCACACCTAAATCAGCCAATAACGTCAAAGGTGGATGTGTATAGCTATGGGATTGTTTTGTTGATGATAAGGGGAAGGATCCGACGGTGATGGCAAGTCAGAGTGAAGAAGGAGAGGAGGCAGTGAACGGGAGGCTTGTGCCGTGGGTGAGAGAGAAGAAGAAGAAAACGACGTCGGATCGGGAAGGGTCATGTTGCTGGGTAGAGCAGATAATGAATCCTGCCATTTCATCAAAGTATGAGATTGAGATGAGGAGATAGAAGCTTTGGCAAGTGTGGCTTTGAAGTGCATGGAGGATGACAAAGATGAAAGGGCCACCATGAGCCAAGTTGTAGTAATGCTTCAGAGCCATGAAGACGAAGCTTCTTAGTCATGGCGGCTAAGAAATATATAGATCTTTATGTGCCGTCTCTTTGAATTAAGCGTGCTTATTCTTTGTTATATAAACAACTGGATGAATAATTTCCTTCTATACCCCTCCTCCACAACACACTATATATGTTTGTGGGACCCTTTATATCAATAATGGAATACAGATTTTCTCTGAACTTAGGATATGTTATTTAAATGACGTCTACCTTTTAAAGAAAGAAAGAATATTTTCTATTTTATAAAAAATAATAAAATGATGTAAAATACTGAAATGTGCAAAAACTAAGCTAGGGACTTACCACTAGTTAATGATGAACCAGGCTTTGATATCATAATAAAATTTAACATTGGTTAGAAACTAAGGCTTGTCACTTAATTAAAATGACAAAAACAATTTTAAAAGGACAGGATTCACCACATATTTATAAAGTTCTAATTGTATTAATTGTTACCAAAAAAAGTTGTCATTAATACTCTAATTAATTACTTAATATGGGACTATCAGACATCTAATATTCATGATCCTCCCATTTATACCACCTAATATAAGTATTGAATTCTTCTTTTGACACCAATGTGCAGGCACAAACAATATTCAAGGACCCTCATAGGCAACCAGAACTGGCAGATCCTCTTCTGAAAGGAAACTTTCCTGTAAAAGCACTGAGCCAAGCAGTGTGGCAGCCATGTGCTTGAACGAGGAAGCTTCCACAAGGCCACTAGAGAGAGACGTATTAGTAAGTGCGCTCTCAGCTGCTTCCTTGGAACAGACATTAATGATTCTCCAGAAGGTTTGGCTTCCGTGATAGTCATGATGAGGATGCCACTATTAGAATATAAAAAGAAGTCTCATATTTAAATATAAAAAAATAGATTATACATATATAAGCTTAGGATATTTTTATAACCAAATGATTTAAGTTATTTTAGTAGAGTATACTATTTTTAAGTATACTTAATATAAAAAATTTAACATAGTATTAGAGCCATTTGATTGGGGAACAAAAACAAAAAAAAAAGAGAGAAAAAAAAAAAAAATTAAAGAATGAAATATGAAAAAACGAGATGAAAAAGAGAGAATGAGAAAAAATTGAATAGACCTAATGTCTCTGAGATTTAACAAAAAAAAAAAGTAAAAGCCCAAGCAAAAAGAAGAAGAAAATGAAAAAAAGAAGTAGCAAAAAAAAATTAAAATATAAAAAAAGTCTCACATCTAAAGATTAAAATATAAATTATAAATATATAAACTTAAAAAGTATTTAACTAATTGGCTTAAGCTATTTTGGTAGAATATATTATCCTTATCTATACTAAATATTAAAAAAAATCTAATATTCCTCTAAAAGTCAACGTAATGCTGCTAAACAAGCCAACAATACTGTTCAATGGGGTGTTTTAACCTCGATCCGCAAATTGAACACGGCTACATATACTGTGTGAAACTGCTTCCTCTCTGTGAGTAATTAAATCATAGATACAAATATACATATCATACATGTTCGGATCATCCTCAACATAGGGCAAACACTATGTATTTATGTTTTTATTTTAGAGATTTTTTTTTTTGGCCCTTCTCCATTTCGCCATAGGCATTAAAGAGCATATACAAGGATATATGAATAGTGTGAACCAGGAGATATGTATTTGTTATTATAAATATCTATGAATATAAGGAAGCATTATTGCAGACTGCGCATAATGTTACGTTCCAGATTCCACCCTTGGCCTTTACCTTTCTCTTTCTCTCTATTTCTGAGACCAATATATAATGAAGTTGTAATATGGGAGAATTTTAATAAAGGACCATGGATGGAACATGTTTATAAATTAAGACTAAAATATTCTGAAAATTTCATTGCAGGAGCATGAGACTTATTTGACATTATATTTCTTGGACTGTTCTTACCAAAATGCTCTTGCCTAATGAAAAAATCAGCTTCCACTTGTTGAAGGCAAAAGTAAACTTTAATTTCTATATCATTTATAGGAGATGGTTGATGATGACATCTCATCTTATTTCTATATTATTTATTTGAAGTTAGCATTCCATCAAGTTATAGAATTTTGATAACGACGTAATAAAAAATTCTTTGAATTTTAATCAATAATTGCAAATATTATATTCATTATTAATATTCTTTTAAATATTCACTTATTGAAGGTTGCAGAAATATGCTTCATATATACCATGAAAATGAACCCTTTTTTAATTACATGTCCGGATTGAAATCTGAAAATGCTGCTGCTCACGGTCACAGTCATAGTCATGGCGGCTTTGAGAAATCTCTTTTTTGTGCCGTCTCTTTTAATTATATATTTTAAATTGAAAACCGTTAAATTTATAATGAAATAAAACATTTGTATCTAAATTCGATTTAATGGATTCGTATCGTGTATGATAAACTTTGATCAGCTTCGTTAAGTAATAGC